CCAGATGACTTTGGCCAAGAGCGGTCAAGCACTTCGATTCTCTCCTCCAAGATTGTAAACTTTACATACTGATCTAAGATCAGCAGTCTCTAAAGTAAACAGCAGACTTAAACGTTATGAGAGAGGAGGTGAAACTGGCCACAGAACATAACTGACAGTAAGTTTCATCAAACAATGACTGCTCATCATAGACACAGCTGCAGTACAGGAGTGGGGCGCCTCACAGCTGGGGACAATGTCACAGATGATTGCATCCTCTCAAGGAATTATTCATAATGAGGTACTGAAAGCAACAAAAAAGTACCATGGAATTACCAGCATTGGGTTTAGCTATATTTATGTTATGTATATGTACATATATAAACATAATTGTACGTATGTGTGCGTGGCTAAATATATATATTAAAAAAGTACCATGTTACTTAATGGCATGGTAACAAAATATAAAAATATATATAATAAGGAAATTTAAAACAAGTATATTTTTCATATGAAAAGACAGCAAAATGCATAATAAAAAAGGTTTAAAGGTATTTAAAAAAGGGTTTAAAAATTAAAAGGTATTTAAAAGTGCATTGTAAAAATGTATTTTATAAATAAATAAATAATAATAATAATCTTTTTTTTTTAAATCATATGCACCATGGTATCTAATGGTATCTGTACCAAAGTACTCTTTTGTAATGGCGTATTTATTACTCACAACCTATAACCCTAAATCTAAACTCTAAAGGCCCTATTAGATGTATAATGCACAATAATTTTGTTTTTGCTCCTGAAAACGCCAATTCTTCATCTAAATGGGGTGCGTTTTTGGTGAGTCTATTGTCTTTGTTGGCTCTGTGGGTTGTATGACTGAGTGGTTCTTTCAGCGCCGGTTTAATCACCTTCCTGCATTCCAGCCGTTTAAACAGAGATGCAGTAACATCCTGTGAACAACTCAAACCAAATAAAACAACATTACGCCTTAAACAAGGGGGAAAAAAAACAGGCAAGGAGGACGAGTAATAAAAGAAGCATTGACCACAACAGAGGACGAGCAGGCAGTGAGGCCTAATAGGGCGGTCTGGCGGAGTTAAAGTACTATATGAGTATGAGTTCACAAGCATGTGTTTTTGTGTGCATTATGATCCTCTTTAGTCCTGATTAGTCTATATTGGTAATGCCTTGCAGGCTTATGTATAACTTGGTTGTGCAATCTTCGATTTTCCTGTCTGAGTACCTTCACCAGTTACCATTAAGAGCGAAGGGACCAGAGAAAATCCCAAAAAGTGCTGGGAAACAAACAAGAAGGTACTTTGAAGAATGTTCCAACTGTTTTGTCCATACAATGAAAGTCAATGTGGTCCAATACAACTCTAGACCCAATTGACTTTCAATGAATTGTATGGACAAAAAGAGGACATTCTTCAAAATTGCTTCTTTTGCATTCCAGAGCAGAAAGTTATAAAGGTTTGGAAACAATATGAGGGTGAGTAAATGATGACAAAAATTTTATTTTTGGGTGAGCTATGCTTTAAGAGAAGAGAAGCAAAAAGGAAACACTGTCTTTATATGCTATAAACTGCGAGAGAGACAAGGGAAATCAGGGTAAAAAACCCCAAGTCCTACATTACCCAGCTCAGTGCCAGCTTAGAGTGCCAGGCCAGTAAAAAGGAAGCCCATAAAAACTGTTAATTAAAAGATCAATGTTTAGCTTCAAAGAAAGGGCAAGGGCTCAAACAGTGTGCGGCCCCTCGTAAATACCAAAGCATATTTTGAATGCAAGAGGCTTGTCATTAGTAGAGGACTGGTCATAGAGGACACCAACCTCAATCCTCTACGGGCTCGATGGCGACTGTGCCACAAAGAGCCATTCAATTAGTTACTAATAACTCAGTTTATAAGAATGATGATTGGCAAAGAGCCCCCTCCTAAATTGAGCCACTTGAGGGTCTACGGAGCGGCATACGTGCCATCAAAAGACACCACAAGTAAATTCATGTGAATGTTACTAACAATAATGGACTGAATAGAACACGATAAATTAAGCCAATAATGAGCACAGACTTTTCTCGTCAATTTGAGCCTGTCATGGCCAAACGGGCATCTTCTGCGTCTTCTGGCGTCTTCTGTGCTGAAGGGATCTAAATGGCTGAACTGCAGTGCGGAGAGAACGCTAATGTAATGTGCTACACTCCCAACACAAAGAAAAGAAGAGAGGTCAAAGAAGACATCAATCAAACGGGCTTGTGAACGCCGGCAACTCGTCCAATCCACCATCTGCAAGTGATTCCACCATCAGAGAAAACCAAAAGTGTCTTCAAGCAGATTGTGTCTTACATGCAGGGCATGTAACTGAAGAATGAGCAGGATCCCGTACATGTGGATACCATATGGATGCAAAATGCTAAATATCTTCGAGCTATTGGATTTGGAGAGGAAAAATCCTGATATATGTGTAACCGTTTGAGAGGTAAAGCCTAACCGGTGAAACCTGAAATATTCATTATCTCTGCCTTAATGTGTCCGACATGAAATTGGCATGTTGGCCAAGCCAAAACAACACTGCCAAGTGTTGCAACCCTGCACAACCCTGCATGCTCTTGAACAATCCTACATAATTCATTTGCTCCGTACTCACCAATTTGAGGACTCAAGAGAGTCAAAAACCTGGCGCGAAGGTCCAGAGGTTCTTATCACCTCCCATGAGAGCGGTGCTTTCTAAACACTGTCAGTGATAGTTTGCACAAGATAAACACAGAATTGTTGACCGTAGAGAAGGTCCAGGAGGAATAACAGTTTGGAGGAACCGAGCAAAAACAGAGTTCAACTGTTTGCTGCTTTTGATGACACTTTTCAGGATAGCCACCAGTGAAGCGCTGGAGACTGCGATTGAGGACCATTATTCTGGAAATTCTAGCCCCTTTTAAGCACATCATGGGCAAGAATTCAATTTGAAAACCAACAAAACAGACCTCATGTTTACATAGCGCAGTAGCCTCAACTGACCAGTGGCAACACTCAGTTTGAAAAGGCTGTGCAACCATTCAGTCCGTCCGTACAGTCTGATGAAAGCTGTCTCTCTCAAAGGAAAATAAATGTACAGACGTCTCTCTACTTCATATTAAACAAGTACAGGGGGAGGAAAAAGTCCCTTGGAAAGTGCCAATTTTTGGAACAAAGTTTACTTGCAGCAAACTAAAAATCTTAAACATTATTTGTTCGCTGGCCAAAGGCTTGTCATCAGGCAGCCCACATAAAAAAATGCATTTCAATAATGTCAGAGCGAGCCAAAAACCTGCCAAGCAGATAGTTCCCCGTGCAGTGAAACACATGAGCATTGTATGAGCCTTGGCACCATCACAGCAGATCACTCTCCTCTCCTCTCGAGGAATGGGGCCGATTTAAAATGAGTATAATGTACATGTAGACTTCCAGATAATTTATTTTTCTGATGTTACAAAAAGCATCGGGGATGGATGCAGAACCGGGACGCACCGACGCAGGGACTAAACCCAGTGTCCGTTTGCAGACAATTTACTGTTACGGTAGGTATGGCAATGGGTTCAAAGTGAAGTGCAGAAAATGGATCCACACATACATTTATTACAGAGAAGGGATCGTTCATCATGGAGAGACTAAATCCAGCCACTACCTCCTCAAACGCTTCTCTCTTTCGCCGTCCAAATGCTGACACTCCTTTTCTTTATCGCGCCATTCCAGTTGCTCTTCTTTTTTTAAAGTCTTTCTCAACCCCCCTTCCTCCACTCTTGGCTCTCCCCTGCCTTTTAAGTGAGCCTTGGGTAGCTTTTTGGTTTTCTTTTGTTAAAGTAACAGTTAACGAAGCTAATAAAACACAATATATTGGACTATTTATTTTCTGCAGGAACACATTCCACTCTATAAAGAGGACTAATGGCATTTACACAGAGCTGGACTGATTCTTAAAGCCAATAGGAGATTTATAGACAGTGAAGGTTAGCGTCAGCTAAAGGCTGTGCGGTCCAGGCCAGATGGCTCCAATAATCAATGGGTGACAAATCCAACTACCCGAGAAACCTTATGGTACCTTGAGTGCACAAATACGTATAAATACACAGTTGTGGAATCGTGAAGAAAAGGCAAGATGTATAAAAAGTTATCTATCAAGTTTTTTTATGGTAACAGTTTACAAAAAGGATCAATTTAGTACCATTACTTAATGCAACAGGTATATGAACTAAGAATGAACAATACTTTTACTACTTTTACATTTGTTTCCATGTATTATTTTTCAATTACCTGAAATTATTTTAATCTTGGTTTGTGTTCATTTTAACTTTTGTTTTACATCTTCAATCTAAAACATGTTTATATTATAATAATAATTATATAATACATTATGTCTGTATTGCAATAATGCAAGACATTCATGTTGATGCACTGAACCTTATTGTAAAGTCATAATGAGCATCCACTGAAAAACACAACTATCCTGTCTTTTTCACAGTTTAACAGTTTACAGTAAGGTTCAATTTTACAACTTTTACATTTGTTTACATGTATTTTTTTTTTTTCATTGATTGAACTTATTTTAATCTTGGCTTATGTTAATTTTTAGATAACATTTTAAATTTTTTTCACACCTACTTACTACCTATAATAATAATAATAATAATAATATAAAGTAGAACAAAATATATACAAATATTGTTTTTATTATATATATATATATATATATAATTATTATTATTATTACAAATTAAAAAAAATCTAATATCTGATCTAATAACTAATATGAACTTTAGACTGGAAAATTTTTATTTAAAAAAATTAATATTACTCTAGTTTAATGAATGCTGTTCATGCAAGCTAATGCATTAAATCATGTTAATGCACTGAAACTTATTGTAAAGTGTTAACATTTTCTTAATGGGAATCCACTGAAAAACAGCAACACCAGATAGGTCACCATAATTACTGGATACATACAATAAAAAGTGATACATTTCATAGAAAAGAGTATCACCCTTTCTTACCTGTTCGGGGCTCATCTTCTGAAGCTCCTCCTCCCAGGCGTCCTGTTGGCTGCGGTGGTATGCGGAGGGCGGGGCCAGGTTCTGCAGGATGTGGGGGTCTCTCTCGTGGCACAGGGCTGTGAGGTGGCCGATGTACAGTTTCAGCTTACTGCGGTTCTGATTGAGGTCTATGAGTGGGGGGATAATCTGTCCAAAACAGGAACGAGGAAATGGGTTAGAGATAAAGAGTAATTTTAATCTCAGTTTTCCTCTACCGTTCAAGAATTAGATATTTGGACACGAGCCAGGGAGATAAAAAGGCGGGTATGCAGACGCATGCTTAAATGACACGCAAACAACACTTTTAGCAAGCCAGAACACAGAGTTAAAATTTTGCTTGGTCACATATGATTGTGTTCAAAAAGAAGGAGGGAAAAAAGAACAATATTCAGTGAAAGGTTGCGGATGATTATGGATGATAGAGCACAGCTGAAACACATGAATCACAGTGAGAACAGTGGTATAATAAAAATGTGTCAGGGGAAACATTCCCATTCCAGGAACACAGACAAACAATCTCAGTTACCTGGACCGCTGCCGACAGATGCCCGGTTTTTTACAAAACATCTCTATACACTCAGCAGACACTCACACGGCTTTTCCATATCCATCAAAATAATGCATACACTTGTGTGGGAGAAAATCCAGAAACCATATGTCTCGGTGCCATGTGTGTATCCTACTGGCTTCAACAAAGGATTCTGGTGCAATGCATGATTGAGCCATCACATTTGTTTTCACATTAATCGAAAAATGAGAGAAATAGCTACATGCTTGTGTTGAAGTGAATGAGAGTTTGCAGTATACTTTATTTTGAATGTCGTTGCCTAGGAGTTAAAGGCCTGAACTGGAACTGAAAGGCTGTTGGATAATATAATATAATATAATATAATATATGACATTCAGTACAATTGCATAGGTTAAGAATAAGAATTATGGAGTACTAGCCTCACTGATAAAAAGCCATAATAATATAAACTACATGTTTAGAATTATATATATATATATATATATATATATATATATGCACACACACACAGCACACACTTCTGGTCCTCAAATCTGATTGGCTGATTACAGTGTGATATTAGAGTCCAACAGAACTCCAACAGCCGTTTCACCGGTTGTATCACTGCGCTTGCGGTATTTCTCACAGTGAGTGTCATGGCGGACTCCCAATTCCACTATAATTAAAAATAATACAGCTGCAGGTAATCACACTCGCTGAGTCAATCTCTTTCTCATTATACTCTACTCCACCGTGCGCACACACACACCATTACACAGAGACTTGCTACATACATGGTTGACTGAAAGCATGCTGTGTGCTAATAAGCTTTAAAAAGGCCCAACAAGTGATGGGATTTGACGTTTATTCCCTTCTCTTCCTCCCCATCAGCTCTTAGAAAGGATGAATGGACTCCAGTTTTCAGCTGTAGACAAATGCCCAAACGCAGCGCTATCCGTCACCATCTGGTTTTAACTACTAAGTCAACACCTCTTTGGTGGCAGAAACAGTCCAGAAAACCTCACCTGAGTGTCCTGCTTCATCAAGAACTGTTTGTGATAGGGTCAACAAGTCAAGAACTGTGCATGATAGGGTCATGACCAGGCTTTGAGGATGGCCACAGTTAGCCCAACTCTAGTTAACATAGCGCTAACATCGGTCTTGTCATGGCTGGTGATGTTTTCTGTCAACTGGGTGCTGTCATAACTGTTTGGCTTGTGCCCGTGTTGTTGTTACATTTAAAAAAAAAAAAGTCCTGTGGTAGACTGAGATCATAAATAATGCAACAATAACAGAAACAAATATCATGCCCAGGTGACAGATTTATAACAGGGGAATTTTCCACTCAAAGCGCCATTTGTCTCGTCTTGCTTTGGACACACACAATAGATGGAAGTGAGTCTCTGTTTACCCATCATGCCTTGCATGATGTCTTGGAAAAATGATCTATTTAACAGCTCTTCCATCTTTCCAAGATGTCTCCAAGAGAAGGTCTGCCAATAATTTTTTTTAAAAACGAATTCATTACATGATATGTCAATGAATTAATGAAATGGATTTTAATCACATATATTAATATGTGACCCTGGACCACAAAACCAGTCTTAAGGTGCTAGGGTATATTTGTAGCAATAGCCAAAATTACATTGTATGGGTCAAAATTATTGATTTTTCTTTTATGACAAAAATCATTAAGTAAAGATCATGTTCCATGAAGATATTTTGTAAATTTCCTACTGTAAATATATCAAAACTTAATTTCTGATTAGTAATAAACATTGCTAGGAACTTAATTTGGACAACTTTAAAGGCGATTTTCTCAATATTTTGATTTTTTTGCACCCTCAGATTCCAGATTTTCAAATAATTGTATCTCTTTTTGCACCCTCAGAATCCAGATTGTCAAATAGTTGTATCTCGGCCAAATATTGTCCTATCATAACAAACCATACATCAATGGAAAGCTTATTTATTCAGCTTTCAGGTGATGTCTAAATCTCAATTTCGAAAAATTGACCCTTATGACTGGCTTTGTGGTCCAGGGTCACATATTTCCTAGAAAGCCCTTAAATTAAAGTACAGCTAATTTAAAATATTCATATTATTGTGTTTATATCGGACTTTAGATATTAACATAGGCTTATTGTTTGTTTTATTTCCATATTATTGAACATAAGCACATTCTGCAATCCACTCTATTTAGTTTTTTTTTCTCTCAGAGACATGTAAGTGCATATATCGGGTATTTTTCAACCACTTTAAATGTGCTACATAAAATCTAATTTTAGAATTTTTATTTTATTTTTAGAATTGTTAGTCTTGTGCTACATTTTACTTTTTGAAGTTATTTTGCAATGATGGCAGACTATTTGCTTCCATTAAATAAATATATTTTTATATTAAAATATACAATAACATTAAAATATAAAAAGTTGGAATTATTTCAAAACTATTTGTGGTTAAATTTCAATAAAAGAAAATAAGGAAAAAATAATATTTTTTTCTTAGTGTTTTTTTATGGTTACATTTTCAGAAATTGTGTGTGGTATATTTGTGTACAGTATACTGTTATATACTGTATGTGTATATATACACTTAATTTTCTATTAATTTCTACATATTATGCCTCAAAATGTGGTATCACTATTTAAACTTTTTTTGGGGGGTTAAGTTTTTTTTCCAGCAAAAACAACTGTATTATTGTATATACTTTTGTTGTGATATAAAATATGTAATGTCATAAGAAATTGTTAATTTCACCTACCCCCAAGGTTCTCACAATGTCACTTAAAATACACCCACTAAGAACACTGCTAAGTGCGCCCTTACACAAAAAAAGCTCAATCACTTGTACAACCGTTGATGTGACAGTGACAGAGAAATGTCAGAGTCAGGACTCCTGGGACCCTCTACTGACCCTCTAAGGACAAAAATATCAATAGACTGTGGGTATTGACCACAAAGACCCATGTCTGTTCTCTTGCTCTTTGCCACATTGACCACCTTCTTGAACCTCACTCTGCAGCTCCCGCCTAAAGACTAGCATTCGCAAAAGGTTCACTGAGGCATCTGTCCGTCTCCTCTTTCATTATGTTCCCTCGAAAAGAAGCTGTCTTCACCAGATGCTGCAGTGTGTTGCATACCTACTCCTACCTGGCACTGTCATAACTTGAGAACCCCCTCCTCAAAAAGACCAGGGGGAAAGTAAAGTCAGACCCCTCAACAATGAGGGGTCCTTCACATTTTCCCTCTCTCATTTATCACCTATCAGCTCATCGGGTGCCATTCGATACCTACACTGAGAGGCAGGAGCCTGGATCAATGCTGTCAGTCAGGCGGTCCATCAGAGACGAGCCACTGGCTGCTTCCTCAAAGACTCCGGAGGCCCGGCAGCACAGGAAGCCCCCGACGTGGCCTTGAAGCCCAGCTCAGAATAGCTCGCCCCAGGTGGGGGAGGATCTGCGGATCGAGGGCCTCTCTCACAGTAGCCAGACCCCGGCGCACATCCTTTCCCGTGGCTGAGAGTTTTATTGGGCTATCCTCTTTCAGTCTCGCTGCGCTACGCGTCCATGAGTGTTAAGGGGATAAAGATAAGGAGGGACTGCAAAACTTCAAACCTGCGAGACACTGACAAGGCTGGTGGGCTTGCCGTCGTAAAGTGCTTTTCAAAAAAGAGACAAATCACCTCCACGGCATGCAAAAAAACACTGACATGAGAGAATAATGACTGTCAAATAAAGGGTAAGGGGCGAAGAGACACACAAGAGGGGCATACCTCCCCAAAGCGCACAGACAGAAACAGAGAGCGGATCTGGACGGCAGATTAAGAGCAGGTGAGTCGGTCTGTCTTTCCATACTGTCATTTCATAAGCAACTGACCGCAATGCCTCCATCCACAACTCTCAATATATCTCGATAGACCCCTCACACACACACACCACAGTCTTATAATTCTATAATTTGCTCAAGCATTACAGAATTACATTCAGCATTACAGAAAATAACAATATTATAAAAATATTATAATATATAGTATAATCTAGTAAAATAATCTAATCTAGCAAAATATTAAATAATAAAAAAGGAAAACAATTTTGATTGTACATTTAGAAATAAAAATATACAAAAATTCATATATGTTCTAATTTTTATTAAGATTAGAACATATCACTTAATATATCTAGCAAAATATTAAGTAAAAAAAACTAAATTTGATTAAAAAAAAAAAGTAACAAAAAAATGCATATATATTTTAATGTTTATAACCTAGATTAAAAAACATCACTTCATATATCAAATATATCAAGTAGAAAAAGAAGAAAAGATATTTTATAGCAAAAATATTAATTAAAACATTAAAAAATAGTTA